CGTTTATCATATCAAACAATCCTGAAACTTACTTTTGATGCCTCCAATGGATTTTTTGTGAAATTTCAGTCAAGTTAGGCTTTTGAATCACTCCATTTGACCTTATAATGAAGGAGATATGTTGGTTTCAATATTTATAAATAGTGCAGATTTTTAAATACGAATTCAGTGGCAATTTCGTAACTTATCTGGAAAAAATCCGGCAACCAAATTCTTAGTAAAATGACCATAAATTCCTCATACGATGTCGAAACATGATGATTCCGGTTGCTATAGTTTCAAAATTACGATACGGATCTAATGCTTCAATCAAAACAAAAATTAGAGCTCATTTGCTTATTATGGTTCCATCTATGCTTGAAGAAACGACGTCGAAACATAAAAAAAAAAAAGCGAGCGTAACATAACCCAAACCTATCTGAAATTCACCCGAGCCCCTCGGGACCCCGTCCGAACATACCAACAAGTCTCATAATATAACATGGACTTACTTGAGGCCTCAAATCATACATAACAACATCGAAACGACGAATCACATCTCAATTCGAACTTAAGTGAACTTTGGACTTTCAACTTCCAAAACTAGCGCCGAAACATATCAAATCAACCCGGAATGAACCCAAATTTTGCATACAAGTCCCAAATGACATAACAAAGCTCTTTCGATTTTCGGAACCACAATTCGAATCTGATATCATCAAAGTCAAATCTCGATCAAACTTATGAGCTTTCCAAACCTTCAAATTTTCAACTTTCGCCAATTTGCGCCGAAACCTTCTAGAAACATCAAAATGCAAACTTGGTCAACTCTTCTAACTTAAAGCTTCAATCATGAAATTCATTCTTCCAAATCGATTTTGAATAACCTGAAAAATAAAACTGACGATTCACATAAGTCATAATACATCATACATAGCTACTCATGCCCTCAAACTACTAAGCAAAGTGCAAATGCTCAAAACGACCGGTCGGGTCGTTGCAGATGGCTCGGTAATTCATAGTTTTGGCATGGCTATGAAATTCAAAAATAACCAGATTTACAAGTAATAATTAAAAAATAGCCACAATTTCAAAAGTAATCAAAATTTAGCCACTTTTCATGTAAAGATAAATCTGAATGAAAACACCGTTCAAAATATACGTTGGGCATGATCAAAACTACCGCTCAATAAATTGGAATAATTCATAATTCCACTTACATGGATTTAAGTGAAATCCTATCTCCCTTGGGCTAAACATCTAGTTGGATTTCATAAAATGAATCTACTTTATTTCAAGCCATAGTTCCACGATTCCTTAGTCCTAACTCCTAAGGTTTTATTAACACTTGCAATCATAATTGATAAACGATCTTTTGACCTTCTTGATTTGAGAGTACTTATATTTCTTCTATTTGAAAGCTGTTTGGATGTCAAGAGCTGAATTTTATTGTATTCTTTTAACCTGAATTGTGATCTAATTTGGAGCGTTGCCACCATAATTGATCAAAAATCTTTGGTCTTTTTTGGTTTTGAAGAGCTCTTGTGTTTCTGCAGTGGGATATATACTATTAACTATATGTTAAGGTATATTATTTATTGTAAAATAATTATTTATTCAATTTTAATAGAGATTTTAAATGAATTATATATCCGTTTGTGTGCTAAATTTACTTATAGTAGTAGATGGTCAATTTAGTGTATAAAGTTTTAGCATATACACAGAAAATTAAATCATCTGTATTTCATCATCTGCTATTTGAAAATTTATTCGATTTTGAAAAATTGGACAGTACTTTGCTCTTTTACACCAGAATTGCGATATTTAGGGTATTACCATCGTAATTCATCAAAGATCTTTGTCTTTCTTGGTTTGGGAGGAGGTTTGTATTTCTGCTGGGGTTTGTTTTGCCCTGTTTGATAGAAATTGTAGTCTTTGTGTAACGATGGCTGAAGAAAGGAGTTCAGTAGTGTATTGTTGCTCAGGTTGTTTTGGCCCAAGTCTTTAATTCCACAAAGGCCCACATTCAGTGGAGGCCCAGTAGAGTAGCTGAATCCAGTAGTATGAATTTACAGAATTTTTATAGGATTCTAAATAGATTCTAGAAGGAGGACACGTGTTGTCCTCAGAGTTGGTTTGTTATGGTCCTTAGGTGTCGCTGTTCTGATTCCCTTTTTAGGTTCCTTTTCATTGTATTCAAGGCATTAGAGAATTATAATAAACGTTTTCCTTCTTCTTTAATTTATTTTTCTTCTTTTGTTTCCTCGTTAACTTGGTAGCAGTTAAGCTCTACAATTTTGGTATCAGAGACACTGATTGTGGCAATCAGAATGGCGGATAAACAACGCAATCCGTCGGGTGATGATGGAGTTAAACGAGTAGAAGCTCAACTCCAAAGCTCCATTGACGAATATGAGAAAAGAATGAATAGAATGGAAGAAAAGCAAGCGAGCTATGAGACAAAAATTGTTACATCCGGTACTTTTGTACATTGAAATTTTCGTAAGTTAATTGACATAGGTTCAAGGACAAGACTATATTTGAGGTTATAAATATTTATGCTATTTATAATAAGTGATAGGTAAAGTCGTGAAGGTTAGAGGGTAAACGAATAAAAGAAAATAAGGTTCGTAGAAGTTTGTCATTTTGGGATGAAAAAATGGTCCAAGCTATAATACCCCGTATTTATGGACTATTGCAATACAATATACCATGTGACCACGATAGTAAGGTATATAAAGTATGTTAAAAGTGATTAGTATTTAAGTGAAATGAGATTTAAAAATTAATTATGTGTGTAATTAGTTAAGTGGAAAATTATAGTGGAAGACTAATTAAATTGAATTATTGAATAAATGGTTTAGTGGATAACATTCCACATGTCACGGCAGCAACATTAGTGACTAATCTGCACCCATAAGTGGTGGTGACACTATTAAACTCAATGTCTCAAGAGAGAAGCTAAGGAGGACATGTGTAAATGGATAAATATTACAATTATGTCTCTTGTTTCACTTGATTTGAGAATGAAATTGAAGAATAGATAGGTTCAACATAGTGTAGCAGCAAAGAATGTTAATTTGAGATGATTTTCAGCAAGATGAGCTCAAAATTTCATGAAAGTAAAGTATAATCTTTCTCAAAGACAATATACGGTTTTTGTGCACCGCCTCGATCTTGTTGTTCCGTTTTGATGCGTTGGTTAATCCGGGCTTTCTTTGATGTAAAGTAAGGTGGAATAAGAGTATCTATTGGCAAATAAGATAAGAATTTTCCTCTCCCTAGTATATATAAACTCGTCTAGATCATGGCTAGATTGTGGGTTGAGAATTATGGAGTTAATAGCAAAAAATCATATTCTGACGTTGTTGTTGTATCGACTATTCGATAATTTTCTAAGTTGTATTGTGACTAAAAATTATGGGAGTAACTTGAGTATATAGTTGGTGTAGTCATTGATATGCATTTTGTAGTACAGAAAAGATTGGAGAAGTATCGTTGATAATCGTAGCCGAGCTTTTCGCTCGTTGTGTTGTTGTTTGGGTTGTAAAACTTGATATAAGAGTTGCTGGTTGTGTTGTTATATTACCTAGCCTATGGTAGGCTTGAGGGAATGATACGAACAAGGAAAATACAGTCCATTTCATTGTAGTATAGGTTATCTTCCGTTATGCGATTAAGAGAATTGTTCGTATTGTTGACAATAGTATTATTCTTGTTATCGTATAGATCATGAAGCGGATACAAGTTGAGCTCTTGAGCCAGTGGGTTAAGACGAGGTATGTTAAGTCTAATCTTTCCTTCTTTTGGCATGATCTAAGTAACGATACGTAAACGTAATGCTATTCCGTAAATGGTTCTACTCTTAGTAGTTAAGGATGCCTACATTATTCATTCCTATGAAATGTAATTCAAAGCATGTCTAAGTATGTTCCTAAGTCTCTATTGAGGCATACGATAAAGATGTTAATGTTCATAATATAGTGTTATATGCATCTTCATTTACCACCGTGCTATGGTCGGTCGGGCAGTCATGCATTTACCATCGAGCTACGGCCGATCAGGCAGCCATGCATTTACCACCGAGCTATGGCCGGTTGGGCAGTCATACATTTACAATTGTACTATGGTCGATCGAGCAGTCATGCATTTACCACCGAGCTATGGTCGGTTGGGCAGTTACGCATTTATCACCGTGCTACGGCCGGTCTGGCATTCATGCATTTACTACCATGCTACCAACGATCGGGCAGTTACCACCAGTTGGACAGTTATACATTTATCACCGAGCTACGGCCAGTCGGGCAGTTACCAGTGATCACTTGGGCAGTCATGTTACGATATGGATAATAGTTCGAAAGAGGTATTATATATGTATGTATAATTAGTATGCATATATGGTGGCACTTCAGAGGTTTAGGTTGATTCATATATATCTTTAATTAATGTTGAATTATTGTTATGTTTCAGTTCCGCCTTACATACTCTGTACATTATTTGTGTTGACGTCGTTTTTGTTATGGACACTGCATTCATGCCTGCAGGTCTAGGTAATCAGTTTGACGAGCCCTCATAGTAGACGAGGTTAGCATTCATCGAAGGATCGGTAAGACTCCACTTCATTTGGAGTGAAGCCGAGTCTATAAGTCATCGTGTTTGAGTTTTTCTACAGACTTATGGGTAGCAGGGGCCCTGTCCCGAACATGTTTTGATGTCAAATACTCTTAGAGGCTTTGTAGACACAGGTTCATTATGTACAATATGTCAGAGGCCTTGACGGCCCGTGTGTATTCATATCTTAAGTACGATGGATCACTGATATAGTGTTTGCCCACTTACAATTATGCATTACGAGTTGTGGCCATGTTGGCCCATGATGGTTACAGAAAGAATGAGTTTAGCCAACTCGAACTATGCACGTTCTAGTTTTGGTCGAATGATCATGAGTTACAGAGTGGTTCGCCCGTTCCAGTAAGGAATCGGGTGCCAGCCACAACCCCTAGGTTTGGGGTGTGACAAAAATGGTAGGAGTGACTGATACTACCAAACACATTGAAGAGTTGTTATTAAAAATGGATAGTCAAAGCAAAACCGCTGGAGTTCACGGAAGCCCATTCATGGAGGCTGGACAATCTTCAGTTGCAGGTAATATAAGAAACAATACCCCATATTTCTCCTCTAACCCAACTATTGGAAATATTTCTCTATCAGCACCACCACCTATATGTACACCCATTTCTAGCTCCACCGCAAACCTTACTCTCAATCCGTCAGCGACGGCTTTCCGCCCTATAACTAGTTCATACCCCATGACTGCACAAGTTGTTCAACCCATTCCAAGCTCAATTCCTACAACTACTCAAAATTTCCTTCCCATGGGCTCGTATGTTCACACACCCTTACTACCCACAAAATATTCACGTTTCATTCGCTCAAAATTTTTTGAGTTCGTCTGGCCCATTTTCTTTGAATCCTACTTCTACTAGCCCTCTTTCATTCAACCCCTTTTCATAAACTATAAACCTACCTTGAATCTCTCCAGTTCATTTTCATAATTTTCCAGCCACCAATACAGTATGGGCCCATTCTAATCAAGGGGGTTAGAACATACCGGTTCATCTTCGAAATTATCAAATGCCAAATTATTGTTTCCTGAATTCGATGAGATGAACCCTCGAAGTTGGCTGAGGTGATGTGAGAAGATTTTTGACCTTTATAAGGTCACAAACGAGGAGAAGATGACATACGTAGCCATTCATTTGAAAGACTATGTCGATAACAGGTTCGATATCTTTGTATTGGACCGAGGGGGAATGTCTCTCGGGCCCAATTTTGTTTTGATATTTGCCAAAGATTTGGTAACAATCAGCCCGTTAAAATTATTGCCACGTTTAATCATTTGGAACAGTTGACTGGTGTGAATAATTATAAAAAGAAATTTGAAGAATTAAGGTGCCTGCTGACCTTGATAAACCCATTTGTCTATGAAGTATATTATGTTTTATGTTTCATTGGAGGACTTAGGTCTGATATAAGTGTCACGACCCAAACCGATAGGCCACAACGGGCACCCGGTGCCTTACTCAACCGAGTACCAACGTAACATATATTTTGTATGACGACCCAACATGATATAAAAATTTATTCACGTGACATACGGGCCTATAAGGCCAATATGATCATTTGTAAACTCAAAACATAGGCCGACAAGGCCATACAAGTATCCGTATACATGACATCTGTCTACAAGTCTCTAAGAGTACATAAGTATCATAAAGCTCGAGACTGAGCCCCGCCATACCAATCAATACATGTCCTAATTATACTGACCAAATAAGAAACTCTGGAGCAAGTGGAGCGCACCAACATCTTCTGCTGAGCTGATAGCCAACTTGGAGGACTCTCGACCTGCCTATCGTGACCTACGGGCATGAAACGCAGCGTCCCCAGGCAAAAGGGACGTCAGTACAAATAATGTACTGAGTATGTAAGGCATGAAGATCAATACATAAGACACATAGATGAAACATGGAATAAAGAATTCCACCTGTAAGTCTAAATAACTTTGTAAATTCTGAAACATTTATAGTGTCATGCACGTGCGTATAAATGTCGTATCATGCATAGGTATAGGTATACATAACATCATCAAGCCTCTGAGGGCATTGCATCATATCATCTCGGCCACTGTGGGCAAAATATCAACGTATACCAACTGATCAGGTGGTGGTGTGTATATAACGCCGTAATATTTTTCCATATCCCATATACATATATCTACATATATATACTTATATAACGTCATCTGGTCATGGGTCAATGTGCATGTATAAATGAATGCAATGCATGAGAAGTACGTCAATAAAATCTTTCGGAACGTCATACGACCATTATGCCTTTGATTAATATCATGAAATAAACTTTATCAACTTACGTGTTTTCTGAGACCCATGAACAGACGATAGAATAATAAGACATATGGGAATTCAAGAACATATGCACCTATAATACTTCTATGAATAGAGTCATTTATGAAAGTTGCGTATTTTGCTTGTTTCATTTATATCATTTGGATTATGCCAAGAGAAAGAAGGGATAACCTTAACATACCTGAGCCGATTCTCTTGACAATCCCTCTAACACACGTCAATTACGACAACACGTAACGGCGGATCGAAGTAGGGGAAAATCCGTATGATATTCTTGAAAAGGATTGCACCGTACTCCCTTAAAATCGTAAAATCCCGTTGCTATTGCACAATATAATTTTGTATGAAATTTTACTTAAGACCGTTACCTTGCTGAATATGACCATCTTTAATTTGTGATTTCAGAGAAGCCTCACGTTACCATTGCAAATTTGAGCTAATCACGTTACCTTGTAATTTTGTACGAATCTCTCTTAAATGAATTAGAGATCTTATACCTTAGTGGGTGTGGGGCCCACTAAGGTGATGACTAAGCCTTCAAAATGACACCTTATCAAGTGACTTTAAGAGTCATCAATTGGCAAGATTTGCTGCCACGTTTGGGCTTCAAGAATTTTATCCAAATGTCTTAGTTAATTACAAATTTTTTAATTAACTTGGTAATTTCTCACTAATCCAACCATTAACCAATTACCCACGTAATATAAGAATTATCTCAAATTACTTAAAATACTACTTATTTTTAACACACCTTATACACCTTACTATCATGGTCATGTGGTACCTTGTAGGGCACAAGTCCATAAATATCGGGTATTATAGCTCACACTGTATTTTGTCCCAAAATGCCAAACTTTGACGAAATTCATTTTTTTCGATTTGCTTACCCTCTCACCTTCACGAATTTATTCATCACTTGTTTGAAATAGCATAAAGCTTATAATCTCAAAATAATCTCATTCCCAAACTTACGTCGATTAACTTACGACTAAACTTTAACGTATGAAAATGCGGTATGTAACATCTCATTTTTCGAGTTTCCATCAATTTACTTATGGCATACTTTCACGTACGGAAACATGGGGTGTAACATCATTCCCCCATTTGGAACATTCGTCCTCGAATGTTGACTAATGCACTTATCATTCTCATAACCCATAGCTTTTGCGAATACTTTAATACTCTTCTTGCCATTTTGGCAACTATTGTTTGAATAAATCCAAAAGCCAAGGCATTCCCCCATCTAGGCCTCTTTCTCACACTACGACTTGTGGTCGGAATCTTTCCAATCTTGTAACTTTTGCTACCTTCTGTCATGCAGCCTATACGACTTTTTCCTTGTATGTGCGCCTATGCGACTCTTCCCTCCATCCTTTAGCTAATCTCTAGGCCTCACTTTGTAAACAAATACATAAATATGACAAGATGTCCCTCTGGGCGTCATTAGTTTTACTACATCTAAGTAGGCCATATTATCCCATAACTCTTATTTCGATTTATAGTTACTGTGGTCAGCTACCAAACTCCAGGCTACTCTTGTTGTTCATACTATATGCATAAAGCTAAGTCTTTTAACGCTTCTTCATTAATGCTCATCTTAAGACTGCTGGCCTAATCTCATCTCATACTTTGTAACTTTTATTCATCCATTGTTGATTCACCTCAATGTTGATCTATAGTTTACCATTGATAATTTGAAACTTCTTACGTAATCACTAGGGCTAATGTTGCATCGAGGAACACTTGAAGTGATTTTCCCGATCCACTTGGAGGAGATACCGTACTTCCATAACTGTATTTCATAGCATCCCAATGTGATTCACCGTATTTAATCATGTGTCATCCATGAAATCCATTTTTTTCTTCAAAACATTACTCAATCGAAGGCCCAAACGCCATCCTTTATCTATCACAATTGCACCCTTATTCTACTACCAGGGCAGTATTCTATCTCTTCTAAATTCTATTAGTCTTAGACTCCTTTGAGTTTATTCAGGCTATACTGAACTTTTATAACTTAGATAAACTAATAGCTCTCTTGTTTTCATGGGCTTAATCCCGAGGACTTATCCGTCTTATCACCTTTTCACTAGCCCTTTCTTATCCTTACTCATATCTTCCTAAAACCTTGTTGCTTTACTATTCTTTAGCTTGCAACCTATACATGTCTACTTATACTACTTGCAACATTTCTTCAATTTTCTTGCGCCATAGATTCCCTTATATTATTTGGAACATCAAGCGAGACATCACATTGTCTCAAACTCTTCTTTACTCTTTTAACTAGACGTTTCGATACCAAAAAACTATAGGCTGGAAGGCATGCCACTGACGACGCCGCTATCATTCCTAGATACTGAATCCCCGTGCTTCTAGCCTTCTATCTGATCACAACCTTCTGTACCTGAGTATCTCATATGTTGTTCACCTTTACCTTACTTACCTTAAAATCTCGCATCACATCTTCTATCCCTTTCATGACTTCCCTTCCACATAGGTATAATTCACCCCCACGACTTGAAGCTCTGTTATAATACTTGCACCTCTGGTGAAACACAATCCGATGGGAGATTCATGCTGACTTCTTATGAGGCTGGTACTCTTCTAACTGGCTTTATCGTAGAGCCGTTATAGAATATGGTTGTTGTACTATATGTCTTATACCCTTGATATCAAAAGTGATCCTACAATGCTCTAAATCACGATGCATATAATTTTCTGGGTCTAATATTCACACAACTGATTTACTTAGTTGATGTAACTCTTTAGTTTCTTCTTCCCTCTGACCAACCTTTATGTAGGCTTAAGCTATCTTCCGATCTACATCTCATGGTATTAGTTATTACTTTAGCCTTTCATGGGCGCTATGGAATATCCATGATACAACCTTCTAACAATTCAACCCTTTGTCTATGTCCTGGACTCAATTATTTCTTTTAACTTATACCGGAGTCTTCTACGGCTGTATGATTGTCAACATATATGCTGCATGGATAATACTCTGAAATCTTAAGTGCATTCATAACGTAACTAACTCTGGATCATTAATCAAATAATTTCTTTCGTTCCTTCTCAACTTTCTTTAAATGTAAGCAATTACTTTTCCCGATCGTTCTACCACTTGTTGCATGAATACTTGGCTTATCTTAGTGCCCACACATATTGGAATTCCATACAACCCATATGATCTTGAATATAACTTTTGAATTTTACTTC